CTCAGCACTGATAATGAAGTCAGCCCTACTGTGGTGCTCACACTAAACACTTAGCCCTCCTGTATCATTCACACTAGCTGATTAACGTTAACAATAACATCAGCCCCTACAGAAGCATCGACAAATATTTTCATCTTGACAACATTTAACTCCAGTAGCACAAGTTGATAATTTCAGTTACCATCGGATTTGGGATGCTACACTAACAGATCACTACAGTAAAAACAGCCACAGATTTCAAAATCCACCTACAGAAGAATGGATTGGCTATACATACACACCTACCACAAGGTGTCCACTATGGTCATCTGAGAGTGTTTTCTTGTTGACCCCTAAAGAAGCAATCCCATCCATTTTTAATTCTAGCTCTCCCTGCTGTGTTGAAGTGTGGTAGTTCACACCTTTAATCCCAGCACTAAGGAGGCAGAAACAGGAGGATCTCTGAGTTTGGGGCTAGCCTGGTCTGCAGTGTGAATTCCAGGACAGCCAGAACTACACAAAGAAACCCTGTCTCAAAAGAGGGAAGGAAAGAAGGAATGAAGAGAGGGAGGGAAGAAGGGAAGGAAGGGAGGGAGGGAAGGAGGGAGGGAGGGAGGGAGGGAAGAAGAGAAGGAAGGAAGGGAGCGAAGGAGGGAGAGAGGGAGGGAGAGAGGGAGCGAGGGAGGGAGGGAAGGAGGGAGGGAGGGAGGGGAAGAAGGAAGGAAGGATTACCTGACACTCTAGGGAAGGACAGAGTTTTAGGAAAATAAAGTAAGTAAATCCATTACCAGAAATGAAAGATAGGCAAGTCCACTCAGTGCTGGAGTCTTTCTTTAGAAAATCCTGCAGCCCAGTGGCAGAGAGTAAAGGCAGTGGGAACAGGGGAGGCACCCTCTGCACCTGGATGGCTCCACCTGGCTGTCATTTTCTGGTGTGGTCCCTGTGTGTCCTCGCACTCCCATCCTGAGGACAGACAATGTGTCATCCTCTTACACCATAAATGCTAGAGAATAAACAAGGCCCACAGCAGGGTCACAAAGAAGATCTGTACCAGAGCGAGTCCGGCCTCAGCTCTGCCACTCACCAGCTCTGACCCCAGGAAGTAAGGAAGCAACAGATTTTAGTTTGGACTTGGTGCATCCTTCAGCAGTGAAGGCAAGCAGCCAAGAAGTGAAGGGAAAACAGAGGGGAGAGGGCGGAAGCGGGAAGAGAGGAGGCTGACTGGGAACCCTGCCACCATCAGTCGCTTGCCCAGAGGACTCGTAGGTAGATAGACAGCCCTGGACTATCCGCTCTTCAGGACTCTCTGTGCTGTTCGTCTTTGACTTCCACATTTCATTCAACTATTTAATACTCTCTCACAATCTGGAAAAGCTCATGCATTCCTGATGAGAGCAGACGTCCAGGACGCCATACAGGCCTCACACGCAGCACAGTGGAAAAGACTCAATATATCTCCACTTGGGACAGAGGTAAATCCGCTAAGACTTTGCGAAAATCTTCTGTTGAGATTGAGACAAATACAAGTTCAACAGGTGCAGAAACATAAACCATCTGAGTTATACGCACAGCTGGGACAGCAGTGGAGACTTTTCTCCTGGTGGTCTCCTTACCTTGAGGCAAACTATGGTCACTATATTTTCTACTGCTGGACCAGACAAACCTCTTCCAACCTGAAAGGCTGCACCCAAGAAATAAGACACAATCCCAAAGCGAGGCTGACGTTAAAGGGTCTCTAAGAAATCATCCACAGGGCGAAGTCTGTGCTTGTGTCTTTCTTTTTAAAACTGGTATTGAGCACTCAAACTGTAAAGTGGAGGGACTGAGAAACAATCTACCACCTATTACAATCACATAAAAGAATCCATCCACTTCAAAACAGCACCAGAATGTCACCACCTCTATCCCCAAGCATCAGACTGCTGCTGTGAACCAAACGCCCATAATAAAGCTGCACTGCTGAAGGGCTCTGTGGCTAGTGCTAAGAACCAGGCAGCTCCATGCTTTACCTCTTTTTTGAAAGCTCAGTATGTGGAATCAGGCTAGGGTGCAGTTCCATCGTAGCATGCTATGCTTGATTCCAGAATCATAAACCAGCTCTTTCACCCAGCACCACAGGTGAAAGGCAGATCTTTGAATGATCTAAAAGCTGAGACCTAGGTTCAGTTAGCCCCAGTATCAGCTGGCCCTAAGAACTCCAGGCTTTCTTCACAGAACACGAGATGTGTATCTCACCCGCTCTTAAGGATGATGTAATCAAAAGACATCACAGTTACATACAATCAATTCAGAAACAACTGGAAATAATTCAAATACTCACTGGATAAAAGGTCAAGGTCAGAAAAATCACAAGAAATGAAAGTTCACCACAGAAGCCAAACCTGTGCGACTGGCTCAGAAATGCTGCTGGCAGGTGTTCTTAGCCATGCCACTCCCTGCCTCACACACTCCACAGGTCTAGACTGTCCAGTCATCGACAGCTTGTCGTCCCCTCTCGTCCCCATGCTCTCCTGCATGCTAGACTCAAGCAAGGCTAAATTCGGACAGCTTAGAAAGAACTGTGTAGTCTGCCTGCAGCACACTTCCCTGAGGGGCAGAGAAGTCCCGTCTCACATGGAGCCTAGCCACACCCAGCTCCCTGCCCCCTACTCTAGCTACATATAGTTCACCCTCTTTTCTTGGGAACAGCATGGGAATCCAAGGAAAACCAGTGAGTGGGGCATTTCTAGGATTTAAAGGTGCGTTAGCAATGGTTCACCTTCAGGAAGCCTGACGCTAAGCTAAAAAACGCAAAGCAGTACAATTGACAGCTCATCACCCCCTGAAACCCGAGAGCCCTGTGGCTAGCGGACTCACCACTCTGGGTTGTATAATTAATGTAATAAATACCACTCTGTAACTTCACACCTCTTTTCTGGTTGACAGAAATGTTTTTCATCCCCACAATCACTCGTCCTGTTACCATGACCTTTCCTACACTCTGGAAGACAAAAGCAAAAGGCCTGCTCAGAGGGGAAATTACTTGTTTCTCTGACTACAAAGAGGGAGTCTACCGCAGATTCCTTCATTTTCCACCCCATTCCTAAGCATTACCAGCTTAGAAATACACTCTTTTGCTTAAAATTATTTTTTAAAATTTCAACTTTTTTAACTATTACATTTGTCTATGTGTGTATGTGTGTGTACTTATACACTCACGTGCATGTGAGTGTGTGAGTGTGACACAGTGTTTATGGCAATCAGAAGACAACTTTTGGGAATGAGTCAGTTCTCTCCTTCCACCATGCATCCTGGGAATCAAACTCACGTGTCAGGTTAGGCAGGTGCCTTTGCTACCCTCTCAACAGCCCTTGTTCTTTTAAAAGTTAATACAGAAGGGGCTGGGGAGACAGCTCAAGGTTAAGTGCACTGGCTGCCCTTCTAGAGGACCCAGGTTCAATTCCCAGCACCTAAATTGTAGCTCAAAACTGACTATCACTTTAGTTCCAAGGATCTGACATCCTCACACAGACATACACGCAAACCAAATACCTAAACGTACATTTAAAAAATTAATATTTTTATTACAGGAGCTGAGGAAATGGTTTGGGTTAGGAGCACTTGCTGCTCTTACAGGGAACACTGAGATTCTGGTTCCGAGTATGTACGTGGTGGCTCGGTTTCAAGGGATCCTACATCCTCTTCTGTCCTCCACAGGCGCCAGGCATACACACAGTGCACATACACGCAGTGCACATACACGCAGGCAAAACACTCAGACATAAAATTTCCAAATCTAAAATGAAAAGTTTGAGTTCCCATAGAGCTGTGTCACTTTAGCTTCCGGCTCTCAGCGATTTGAGTTTTCAAACAGAATGTGCTAATTATAATACTTTGCAATCAGGCCAGACAAGGAGAGCCATGCCTTTAATCCCAGCACTCAGGAGGCAGAGGCATGTGGGTTATCTGTGAGCTTCAGGCCAGTCTGGTCTACATAGTGAGTTCCAAGACAGCCAGAGTCACAAAGTGAAACCCTGTCTCAAAAAACAAATAAAAAGCAAACAAACAAACAAAAAGGGTGATGGTCATTCATGAATACTCCTAGTTTACTAATAGCAGTGTACTTAATGTCTATTGCCAGGAAAAAAATGTTAGGCCAGTTTACATTTTTAAAAAAAGAAAGAACTTAAAGTCTGCCCAGTGGCCAGTCTGCTTCTTCCTGTGGCAGACAGACAGCATGCTTCCTTTCCTACTAAATAAAGCCTTCAGAACTACAGGAGCATCCCTGAGCTACAGGAACATCCCCCATCTCTGTTGGTACAAGGTAAGAGGCATCAAGTCAAAAGAAAAACTTAAGAAAACCGATTTATCCCTTAATCATATTTCCTATACTTTACAATAAAAAGCTGCTCAATAAAAACAAACAAAAAGTATTTTGTCTGTAATAAAAGTAGCTTTGAAATTCCCACCTAGAAAAAGTGTTCATTCAAAGAGCACACAGTACAAGGTTACAATGCTGTCACTCAGGAAGCTTAGGCAAAAGAGCAGATCAAGGCCAGCCAGCCTAGAACAAGAGACCCAGGCTCAAAACAACGTGATTTACTCACTCCCTTCATCTCAGAACTTGTGAGGCAGAAGCAGGTGGAGGATGTCTGTGAGTTCCAGGCCACCAGGGTTATATCATGAGACCCTATCTCAAAAATAAATGAATCAAAGGAAAGAAAGAGCAAAGAGAAGCGCACACGCGGGGGTGGGGGGGAGCGGGAGGGAGGAGCATCAGGCGACACACACTAACATTAAAGGGCTCAGAATATCCTAGCCCTAAACTGAAATTCCACTACCTCCGTGAGGAAAGACGAAGGCCTCATCCAGCCATGTCTCTACCTTTGAGGGAAACATGAAAGGAGCTGAAGAAGTGGCTCGGTGAGCTCAGTCCAGCCTG